CAATGACTCCTCTGCCAATACGAACATCAAAAGTGCCCAGGAGGATCAGACTGACCGAAACTGGTTTGACAGTGTCTTGAATACGATCTCCTCTGTTTTTTGTCTGCACAGTCAGAGACTAACCACCAACCATGGCAGCAAGCTGCCTTTACTTCAGGGGTCAAGAGTTACAGTCATTCTTGCTGCAAGGTAAGTCTGAGGACCTTAACCCCCTAGTGATTGGGTCACAACGTTAAAGAAGAAAGCTGGGAAGCCGATTCCAGAAGAAAGTGCACTTGGTCCTTTCCCCAGGACCATGCTTTGATCAGAGTATGACTGAAAACCACAATAGCCTTTCAGTAGTTGGACAGTTCACAGACTGTCACTGTCATTGTGCTGGAGTGTCCTGACATTCTAGGCAAAGCTGGTGGCTATGTGTTCATTGCACAAGCTGGGCAGACTTGGAGCAGGGGAACTGAAAACAGCTCATGTGCCTCATGGCGTATGCATTCACATTGCCCAAATACCTCATGCTAAGAATAAATGAGGAAATCCTTCCCTTGCTTTTTGAAACCATTTAATATAATTTTCACTCTGCTTTTCATTTAAACACATGGAGCAACCTATTAGCAATCTATACTCTTTCTTTTCACTTTCATTCTGTTTTGGGAGGCAGGGAGGTATGTGGCATTTGAGTCTTCCAGACGGGAACAAGTTGCAAGTAAATGGAATTTCATAATCTCTCAGAGTTGCAGGAGTTTGAAGGGGTAATTAAGCTCAATTTTCCATTCTGGGCAGGAATTCACTCTAGATCAGCAGCCCTGAGAGAGGGCCACCCAGCTTCTTCTGAAACACTTGTAACAATTTGAAAGAATTCGTTCCTGGAAGGGCAACCTACCACCTCTTCTGTGTGGGGAATTACAAGCCCCTCTTTTGAAAGTTCTATACTCCTGAAAGCAAAATCCCCAAGTCCCAGGTACTACTAACACAGCATGGTTTTCATTAAGGGGAACCCACATGCCTGGTCAGACTTCTCACACCATTCCCACTGACCATAACACTAGTTCCTAAGCACCTGCTGCAAACCGAAGCCTGTCCCAAAAGTGCAGCTTTTGACGAACCTCAAGTTGTGAACTGTCCTCCAGCCACATAAGAATGGAGCAGCCAAAAAAAGGACAATAGGCAGCCATTAGTCACTGATGGTTCAGACACCTCGCCTGTCTGAAGGGATTAGATCAGCTATTCCCAGGGGCCTCACTAAGTTCCATCACTCATAGTGGAGCCCAAACTCTATCCCTCAAACCCTAGCCCCCACTGTGTGGCTAGAATTTGCTCAGAAAGAGGCTTAATCCCTCCCTTAAAGGCACCCTGGTGTCCCTGGTCTGGCCTGTCATTGGCTAACCACAAGGCGGGCATCACCTAGAGTATCTAGGTATCTGAATGAGCACAGACACATACACACATTCACAAACACACAATTCACCATTCTCAACCAAAAGGATTCATCTCTCACTGGCCAGATTTTCACTCTCCGATTCCACTCCTCACTGAACACCTAACCTACCTTCTTCTCTCCTCCTCCTTCCACCAACTCCCTGCCCAAGCCCTACTTTCACAATCATTTACTCTAGCATACAGACAGCTGGAACACAGGGCAGTTTACAAACAACTTCACCTTCTGTACCTGATGACTAAGTGCAAGAAATAGCTTGGGAGTTGGGGGGATACGGTCTTAGTAGAAGATTCAACCAGCTTCTGTGACAGTGACTTGGTTAATGATACACTGTATCCCACAGGCAGACTTCTTCAGAGGCCTTCAGGGGCCTGAGGTGGACAGAGTCAAATCACTGTCTTCTTGCTCGAGAAAAACAAAAACGGTCAAACGCCAATAGCTCCCAACTTCACCTGCCCTTAGCCAGTCAGACCAGACATTTCCAGTTGGCCCAGAACTGCCAACCTCACTCAGCGTCTGGAAATCAGTCTTATCTGTGTTTTGAACAGTTCCAACCATCAAATTTTAACCATGAGGGTGTGGATGGGAGGGGAAAGAGGACAAAAAGAAGTAGTAATTCAGCAGGGAAAGGAGTGAAAGGAAGGACGAATGACAGGGAGCAGAATTCAGCTCTGTAATTCCAACAGAAGCAAGGCAGGAAAAAAGCAAAGCAAACAGAGAGAAGATGGGGAGGGAGGGATGTGGCGTTTTAAATGCTAGGCATCTGCGTGCCTGGCTGCACGTGCTTACTTGTACCACACACAAGTATACACGCATACTCTCAATCATGAAACTCAAACTAGATACCAGCTAAGTAGCCTCTGCCCTTACTTTCCCAGCTCTGGTGAAAAGCAAGGTCCCCCTCCTCTGACTTCTGTTACCCAAGCGAGCTGCAACCATCAAACCATCAAAAAGTCTGACAAAGCAACCACAAACCCACTCCTGATGCACTGGAAAAGCCTGAAGCCCTTACAGAGTGCCATGGATTAAACTATATTCCTTAAAAATATGTGTCAGCTTGGATGGGCTATTGTTCTCAGTACTTTGGCAGTTATATAACGATGCAATCACTCCTCAGGACGTGATCTGGTATGACCACGTTGTAACAGGGGATCAGGAAAGGCTGCAACATTCTTACTCCGATCACAGCCCTGATTTCATGTAAGTGGCTTTTCCCTGGGATGTGACCTGTGTCACCTTTTATCTTACAAGAGATCAAAGAAGTGTCAGGAACAGAGCACATCCTTTGGACCCAGGGTGCCGGCGCTGAAACGCTCCTAAACCCAGGGGAAGAATGATGTAAAGACAGACATGTGGAGCTCTCCAAGGAACCCCAAGCCTACAGATATTGAAAGGAGAGAAGGCCCTTCCTCCAGAGCTGACAGAGAAAACACCTTCCCTAGAGTCGGTACCCTGAATTCGGGCTTCTGGTCTCCTAAACTACAAGAGCATAGATTTCTGTTTGTTAAAGGTATCCACTTTAACAAACTTTAACAAAATTTCCATTACATGAGAGTAAGTCAAAACATATTACTACCAAATCTACCTTTGTTAAACAAAAGCATAAAAAAATGTAAGCCTTTTGCTTCTCGACAAATCCTCATCAAGGTCTACACACCTCTGAAAGTGGTGTTTCCGTCTCGCTCAGCCTTTCCCCAAAAACTTCTTGTGTGCTTTGATTTATAAGCACATCAAAAGGGCGGTTTGGGCATCCTCAAGGGACTCAAATTGTGTTCCTTGTCAACATTTTTTTTCAATTTGGAAAACAAAATGAAGCCGAGCGGGGCAAGATCAGAGCCTCAGGGTAGATGGGGTAAGGGTTCCCAATGATGATAGGGCAGCCCTTGCTACCCTCGAAGAATGAGCAGGTGCACTGTCGTGATGGAAAACAATTCTCCAAAAGCGCAACTTTCCTGGCCCTTTTCTCACTAACGCAGTTTTCCATTTGCTTAAAATTTCTTCCTAATAAGCCCCTGTGATTGTCCTATGATCTCCAAGGAAATCTGTCAAGTTTACCCCTTTGGGATCCCAAGAAAACATTCGCCATGATCTTTGGAGCTGATCTTTCTGCCTTGAATTGAACTGGACCAGAATATCCCCTTAAAAGCCTCTGTTTTGATTGGACCTATTTAGGAGAGCACCCTAGTGAAACAAAAGCAAGTGTATTCCTGAGAGAACTTGTCTGCAGCCATCCACTGATGGCAGACAGATGGTTAAGCACCTTTTGTTTGGAATAAACTGTTACATGTATGAACTGGAATCCTAGTAGCAATATTTTTTTAGGACAAAAATGAACCTTCAGAGACCAGAGCGTACTCTAATCATCCACAAAGGCTGGCCAAACAGCCCCCTCCTTCTTGCCATGACCACACCCCTGCAGGGGAACTCCATTTCCAGGTGAGCTGTGCACATGAACTAGAGCAGGCTTGTATCCACCATGACTCGCAGACTACACACACATACACACACACACACCTATGGCTTTTTGAGGTCCGCCTCACAGCAATCCCGAAGCAATTAGCATTATGCTCATCCCTAGAGTATATAGCATTCTGGAAACATCTTACAGCCATGCCACAGTACCCTAGAATCCAAACTGGCCACCTCCCCTGAGAAGTGAGCTACAAGATTTCAAAAAGTGGTTATAGTACTAGCTATTCATGGAAAAACAACTCCAAGGCTGCTATCAGCCATACACAGAATAGAGCTATTTCTGTTGGGCAATTCAGAGAGAAAGAAAGAGCATGTCACATTTAATAAGCACATATGTGCCAGGCACACAGCTGATCTGTGGCACAGGTTCCTAGTTTAGTTGGCTTTTCAACTGAACTGCTAGCTGAAAGTTGAGCCCTAAGGAAACAGGACACAAAATAACAGACTAGGTGAGTGGAGTTGGGTGGAGTTATTACAGTGAGGTTTAGGCCTGGGATGGATATAAAAACAGCAGCTTATCACTAAGCTCCTAAGGAGACAAGAGGAGTGAAAAAGATACACTGGACAAGGAAGTGTGTGGGGGCGGGAGCTTCAAAAAATTCATGGGAAAATTCCATTCTCTTTTCATTCCATTTTTCCACAAACTTTTTGAAGCTCCGTCATATACTATAAAGACAGCCTCTCAAAAGCTAAAGTGGATAAAGAGAAATACTTTTAACTGATGGCATATGGAGGGGATTATAATCAATGTAATGAAACAAGTTATATGAATTGTTGAATGTGAAACTGATATTGTGCCCTGTAAACTTTCACTCAATTCACAATAAAAACCTTAAATTAAAAAAAAAAAGACAGCCTCTCGCGCTTCCCAAGTTTTCCAGGGATAGCTCTAAATTAAGTCTACAAAATTAGTGTCAAAGATCTTGGTCTTGTTGAGAAAGACCAAGGTTTCCTTAGATACTTTTGTACACCCAGTAAAGTCCCAGTTGGCATGATCTATAGAAACTGCTCAAGAAGACAGTGAAAGCCATCCACCAACTCCCCAGAAAGAACACTATCCCCTCAGACCCAAAGAAACTATCATCGAGCAACTCACTCAAAGGCGAAGAAGAGCGTGCATGTTCCCAGGATGAGGAAGAGGGTCAAGTAGAAGATGCCCTTCTGCCGGGCCATCATCACGCGGCCATCACAGCAGAAGGTGTTCCTGCCTGGGAGTTTCTCCCATTTCCGTGTCACCTTCTTTCTCACCACCATCACAGACATGATTGGAATTCCTGGTCCTCAATGAGTTTGGTGATCACAAGACAGAAAAAACAGAGGCTGAGCCCAACTTTGAAATCGCGTTGCCTGCTATTGCTGCTGCTGGATCAAACATCATTAAAAGTCCAATTTCATGCCCTAAGGAGGGAAAAAAAGAAAACAACATGAAGCAAGAAGAAGAAAAGGCAGTTCAACCCTCCTTTCTCAGAGACAGGCAGATGAACAATACCTGAAGAGGTGGGATATATATAGGGAAGTGGGAACATTGCATTTCTAATCTGGGCTTGTCCTCTACAGGGGGCAAAGGCTAAACGCTTTCCTGAAGAGAAGGGGATGAGTATTTCTTTTTAACTAAACCTTGACACTGGAAGGGAATTTATAAGTGATGGTCCTCCATAAGACTTTGTCTTAGAAAGAAGAAATAATGCACCCAGGGTCACAAAGTGGCCAAGCTGAGAGGTCAAGACACGTCTACTGATTCCCAGTCCAGTGCACTTTTGCAACTGTGTACAATTTCTGAGGCTGTCAATCTTTCTAGGAGCAGAGTGGCTGGTGGAGCTGAACTGCCAACCTGTGGTTAGCAGTCCAGTGCTTACACTACAGTGCCACCAGAGCTCCTTAATCAACTGGTGTGGTACTGTGGGTTAATGCGCTGGACTGCAAAGTCGGTTTGAATCACAAGGTCAGCGGTTCAAGTTCCCCAGCCGCTCCTTGGAAACTGTTGCTATGGTCGGAACTGACTTGCCGGCACTTAGCAACAGCAACGAGTAATAAAGGCTCAATGGTTAGGAGCTCTGCTGCTAACTGAAAGGTGGGCAGTTTGAACCCACCAGCCGCTCTATGGGAAAAAAGACCTGGCAATTTGCTTCCGTAAACATTACAGCCTAGGAAACCCTGTGGAGCATTTTTACTCTTACATACAGGGTTGCTAAGAGTCAGAATCGAGTTGATGGCACACAACAACAACTATTCTCTGTAAATAACAGAGTTTGTGTCCTTAAGGAATCAACCCCACCCCCTCCACACCCCTCCACTTCATCACCTTTCTTCAATTAGCCACTCAAATCTGAGCCAAGTCACCCTCTGGCAGGGCGATGAACTCTGCCCACACAGACACACACTGCATTTACTCAAAACAGATTTCCCCTAATCAAACCCTCTGTAACTTCCTGAGTCCGGCAAATGAACCCAACTTGCTGATCTGGCCGAACATTTGTGGGAATCTTAATGAAACCACATCACAGACTTGTCGGTGAAAGGCTGACTTACGCAGGAGAGACTTGGGAATGGCTGGAGACTCATGGGTGGGGTGGGGGTGGGGGGAGAGATGGCAACAACTACAAAAAGTCATCAAGATGCTTTCTGGGCCATTCCAGAGGGTCCTAAATACCATTACTACTTAGTATCCAGATTTGCCAGGCCTGGTTTTTCTCCCTCACTGAATCCTCTCCTGGGCTCAGGTGTGGTGCCCTGGCCTCTATTCACTGCCCCCACATGCCCCACGCTGGCAAGCAAGAAGCGGAAGCCTGCGGTCCGTGGATGAGCATCAGCCAGGCTGAAGAGGGCAGGACTCCAGAAGGGGACAGGCAGGAGCCGGGCAGCAAGCACATCTAAGACTTGGGCTAGGGGAAGGGGGGTGGGGGGCCAGAGGTGCAAAGAGCACTTCCTTTGTGTGAAACTAACCTAGAAAACAATCTCCTCCGGATCAACTGGCCCAGCTGCAGAAGAGAGACCAGGGCAGGGAAGCAGGGCCTGGGAGAACAAATATCAGAATCCGCAGCTAGCCAACGACCAACCGAGCGAGTCACCCGTGGGGTGCCGAGGCTGGGGCGGGCGCGGCTGCGGTGGGCCCGCCCTGCTGCCGCCACGCCACGGACCACCGCCCCGGGAGGCTGGGACTCAAGCCACAGTCACCCGCACACAGACCCGCCACGTGTAGGCACCCGGGCCGGGGGCTCGGGGCTGCTGAATTGACAAGGGCAGTGCCACTGCCCCTAGGTCCTGGTGGAAAGAGAGGGTAGCCCACCACGCGGCCAGACCCTGGAGCCCCCAGCCCCCACCCCTCATTACCTGAAGGAGGGACCCGAAACTCGGCGGGGGATGGATGGCAGGAAGTGGCCTGTCTCAGGGGACCAGGCAGCCGCCAAAGGTGGCAGCGACTTCTCTTTCCCAGCCAGGAGGCTGCCTCCTCCTGACAAGGGGCCCCAATGGTCGGGGCCCTAAACCAGCTGTGGCAACCGCCCACCGCTGGCCTAATGGAACGCTCCTTACGTCACCAGGTCGTTCCAGAAGTTGCTTGTCTTCCATTGGCCAATGGGACTCAGCGCCTCCGCCCCGGCCTCCCCTGCCCTGAACTACCATTGGCTACTGCCAACGTCACTTGATTATGCCTCCGCCCCACTCCCCCACCCTAGTCTCTGTTACATGCCCACCTGCCAAGCCACTGCCAGCGTCCCTTTAGAGTCCGCGCACCGGTACGTGGAGCGCTACCTTGTTGTCATAGTTTTGCAGTGACGGAGGCGAAGAGTAATGTCAATGGGACAGGGAGGACAGAGACTAGCTACCACCCACACATACAGGGAGACACTGAAGCAATACCAGATCACCCCAAACAAGGTCTGCCCTGGGCCTCTCCAGTCTTCTTCTTGTTAGGTGTGGGTCATTTCATTCCAATTCATTGTAACCCTATAGGAGTATAACTAACTACCCATAGGATTCCCAGCCTGTCACCTTTACAGAAGCAGACTGCAACACCTTTCTCCCGGGAGCTGCTGGTGGGTTAGAACCGCTGACTTTGCAAGTTAGGAGCTTAGCAGCAGAGCTCTTACCCAGTGCAACACCAGGGCTCCTTTCTCCAGCCCCACTTGCAGAAAAATCAACTACAACTCTTGTGGATTTTATTCTTTATCTGCATAAGAACAAGATTTCTGCCTCCAAATACCCTTCAGTCGTTAGGAACACCACCAGCCCCAGTCACCCAGGCGATGTCTAAGGCTTTCAGAACAAAACAAACAATCATAACAAGGAACTTGAAAGGGACAAGTGTCCTCAATCATATAGAAATCATTTTACAGTACAGAAGACAATAATTGCCAGTAACTACATGAGAGAAACTCCACTGGCAAGACAAAAATTCTTCCAGGTGGATCAAAACCAGAACCAGAACCATTGATATCCAGTATATTCTGACTCAGCGACCCGAAAGAACATGGTAGAACTTCCTCACAGGGTTTCAAGGCAGTAATCTTTATAGAACCAGACTGATACATCTTCATCTCCCAGGGTGGCAGATGAATTGGAACCACCAACCTTTCCGTTAGCAGCCAAATGCTTAAACCCTGTGCCACTAAGGTTGCTATTCTTGGTTGACAACAACAAACCCACTGTCATCCAGTTGGTTCTGACTCATAGCAACCCTCTGGTGTGGCGCTGTAGGATAAATCACTACACCGCAAAGTCAGTTTGAATAGCAAGACCGGTGCTTCAAACCCACTCACTGCTCCTCGGAAGTCCCATACAGAGTTGCTATGAGTCAGAACCAACTCAACGTCACTTAACAACAACAACAGGATAGAATAGAACTGCTCCTTAGGGTTTCTGAGAGTAGACACTGAAACTCGCTCTCCAGGGTAGAGAGATGCTAATGCAAATGGAAGAAATGAGGAGATCCAAGAGCTGAACAGAAAAATTCAAAGGTCAGCACGAGAAGACAAAGTCAACTATTACAACAAAATGTGCAAAGATCTGGAGTCAGAAAACAAAAAAGGAAGAACACACTCAGCATTTCTCAAGCCTGGGGAACGAAAGAAAAAATTCGACCCGCGTTATTGAAGGATTCTCTGGGCAAATCATTCAATGATGTAGAAAGCATCAAGAGAAGATGGAAGGAATACAGAGAGTCACTGTACCAAATGGAAATGGTTGATGTGCAACCATTTCAAGAGATAGCATATGATCAAGAG